CTCCGTACATGTTTATTTATACCGTCAGAAAGAGAAAGGAGACAGAGAAAGGGGGGGGACAAGTCATACGTGTGCATAAATGTCTGGTACATTTCCTTTACATTAAGAGGAAGGTGTTTTGTCTCATGCCATTGCCTTATATGGCAAAGCAAGTGCCTCGACCTATGCTTTAACCTTATATGGAAATGTCTTAGGTGACAACAGGCGCTTCCTCTCACGCTTATGCTGATGTGTCATACAGAGACATTCAGAGATCATGTTAACACATTTTTTACCGTTACATTCCACTCTTTTGATTACATTATAACCACTTTAATATTGCAAAAATATGTTTTTGTGAGACAAAGTCTCTGGTTGTTTTAAGCAAGCAATACAGTTCAATAAACACAAAAAAATAAAAAAGATAAAAATCAAAAACTGTCTTTAGACCTGAGTATCGGAATCATCCAAGGAGTCAGTGTCGCTGTCGAAGTTGTCTGTGTAGTCAGGTATAGGAAATAGGTCAGGTTTTTGGTCGTTAATTGCCACACGAGTATACATAGTCATCTTTTTGGCAAAGAGTTGAGAGATCATGTGTCTGAGCAGTGGGATGACGCAAAGTACAAATACAAAGAAAGCACATAGGATAATGGCGGCTTGTATCAAAGTCCCCTTCCATGAGTACCATAAGCCTGTAAGCCAGTCTGGAGGTGGAGTACCATCTTTAGCCATAGCTTCCTGTATTTTAGTGATGTTGTGAATCGCTTGTGCAATGATATGACCATCAGTGTCATTTTCTGGAATAAAAGTACAACAGTATTCCCCAACAATACAAACGCCACCCTGTGGTGCAGTCAGTTGATCTAAAACCATTCTATTTTGCATAACCATGAGGCGCAAGGCAGTCAATTCTTCAGTGGTTCTTGTGAATGCCGCAAGAGTGTAGTTCAGGAAACTCTTTAGTCGGTAATCAAGTTTCTAACCGTAATGTGTTTTTTGCCACGCCTACCCAAGGGAGCAGTGAAATGCCAACCTTGGAGCCGACGCTCCAGTGTTTGAATTCATCCGGGACGTCTGAACCCCAAACTGAGTCATGTTTTTTGAATACCAAGTCGCGAGAAAAACGTGTTTTAGGCACAGCTGATATTATTACTGTGTGGTCGGATATTGATACTGGAGCGCAAACTCCATCCCAATCTGGAGGTAGTGCAGCATACACTGTGTGACCGCAGAGCCACCAACCACCTGTTACCGGATATGTGCCCTTTTTACCGGGAACCACTGTGTAGTGGGCTAGAGAGCATTTAACTCCTGCTGGGCAGTCCACTGTATCTCGTGCCACATGTTTCCACCCATCGTATGAAAACCGTTGTAGGTAAAATGGAACTCGCGTGCAGTCTTTAACTAGTGTGCAATCCTCAAGTCTCGCTAGTTGCATGCACCTCCTTATAGATGCAGCTGTTATATTACCTGAGCTATTTGCACACGAAAGACGGTAGAACACACTTACAGTGTCATTCACGGTGACGGCTGGATGATTGGATGTGTCGCCGAATCTGGAGTAGTCTTTGTCCTGAACAAAAGTTGCCCCTATGAAAGTGACGTTACACATAGAGGGATGAAGTTGACCTACTGATTTTGAGCCATTACGCGCAAAACAAAATGAAAAGTTCAAGTGTGGTGCATACTGTACGTGTGATGCTTGAAATTGGGACGAAGTAGCGCTGCTTCCGCGGTATCTCTGTGTAGGGTGTGTTTTTGCGCACATAGTGCTATTTACTGAAGCCCATGCTGCATAACTACTGTAATACCCTAAAACTGCTTTACTGACGAAACAGCCCTCTGTAGGACCTAGAGACCTAGTCGCTAATATACGAGGTTGGTGAGATGAGGCCGGCATCATTGAGCAGACATAGCAATTAGTGCGGTTTTGTTCGCGGGCTGAATGCCGCGCGTATCGCCACCAAATGTTGGATGAATAATCGTGGATTAATGCACCTGGGCTGTTGTCGAGCCAACCATGTTTTAAGTTTTTTACTGCGGTGCGTCTGGTACGGTTATGCGTTGTTGAGTTGTCATTGTTGGAGTCAGTAGTTTCGTTATTATGCCGGTTGCGTAAGTCGTCTACATGTTTCAGGTGGAGTAGGATGATAGGCAATAGTACGAGTAAACCAATGATTACAAAAATACAATATGTGAAACGAGTCCCACCTACCCTCCTAAGAGGGCTCCATGGGCGCTGTCACTCCATGGCAAGAGTGCAACAGCCAACCAAGTTTCTATGGAGTTCACCCGAGCAACTGGTTTGTGTGAGCAGTTCTGTTTGTGTTGACACAATGAGGTTTCCACAAAATTGTCAGAGACACTGTTATCTAGCCACTCTTTTGGTTAGAGCAGTTAAGTAGTACATGAATAAATTGAAAAAGAAATAAGCAATAGCACTAGTATAATGACGGCAGTGCAACAGATCCTTGTGTCCTTATGGAGAGGACCTGGTCGTGTTCCTTTTCTCGTGTTCGTTGGTAGAAACACGTTTCGATTTTGGCACGGACTCTGCCAGCCGTCTTTCTTGCGTGGCATGAGCGTAGGGAGGTAGACAGTCAACACAGAACACGCAAGTGTCTGTCGGTCAACTGCCCATTGTGATTCCGTCCGTGATCACTGCATCGCCTCCCTCGGTGGTGCCGATTGGCTGACACTTGTAGTAGGTGCTAGCTCACCTGTAGCTTCGATCGGTGTGTCTCCTGGAGCCGGGACCTTTTTGCAGTGTGACACGTGGACCCAAGTTGCCCTCTCAGCCACCAAGTTGCCCTTCACAACCGTGTGAGTAACGAGGAGAACCTGGAATAGTCCCTGCCAGCGTCGTGCTTTCCAGTTCTTCCTTCTGAAGTCTTTTACCACCACGAAATCACCAGGTTTCAGCTTGTGAAGAGGTCCTTCAGCTGGCCTTGGGAGGGCGGCAGACACCTGTTGTCTTATGTTAGATAAAGCAGAGGAGAGTTGTGCACAATATGTTAACATTTCATGTTCGCATAAGGCGGTTGAAGGGAGTGGTGCCTTTGGTGCTTCCGTACCTACATGAGGAGGAAAACCAAACAGTATCTCAAAAGGACTCAGATTGCTTCGTGTTCGTTTTCTCATGCGCATGTACATCAGCACGAGAGGCAGGGCTTTTGTCCAAGGCAGACCTGTGTCAGCACAGCATTTTGCTAACTTAGTCTTAAGTGTTCCATTTTCTCGTTCAACAGCGCCACCACTGGCTGGATGGTAAGCACAGTGTGTTCTTAAGTCGATACCCATGTATGCACTTAATTCTGTAATGGCCTGGTTTACAAAATGAGAACCATTGTCACTTGATATTTTAGTGGGAATACCCCAACGGGGAATGATTTCAGAAATCAAAGCTTTTGCTACTGTTGCAGCTTACTGGATGGAAATACCCAATTTGACCACATGTCCACCATCACAAGACAGTGTTTCTTACCTTCAGATGGAGATAGCTCGACAAAATTATCATAATATGCTCAAAAGGGTGCGTTGGAGGCGGATGTGCAGCCTGGCTGGACACTGCCACAGGCCTGCCTAAATTGTGAGTAGAGCAGGTTACACAAGCAGAACAAAATTTTTGTGCGTATGCTGTAAACCTTTTTGTGAACCATGTTTCATTTAATGCGCCCAACATTCCTCCTTTTGACACGTGGTCTAACCCATGTTGACCACAGGCGACGCTCTTCCGGAGTGGAGAGTGACTGCATTGCTGTAAGAGAAGAAGGAACTGAAACGCATTAATACATGAGAGCCGAGGAAGTGGGGAGAGGAAACTGTGCAGCAGCTTTTGCAGCTGTGTCTGCGCGAGCATTTCCTCTAGAGATGTCGTCAGTATTAAAAGTGTGAGCTGCACATTTACACACAGCAATGGCTGTTGGCAACAGAATTGATTTTAACAGTTCAGCAATGAGTGTGTGATGTAGGACAGGTTTACCGTCAGATTTAAGGAACTTTCTGTGTTTCCACAGAGCACCAAAATCATGTACTACACCGAATGCATAGCGAGAGTCAGTGTGAACTGTGACTGTGTTACCTTCAGCAAGTTTGCATGCTTCAGTGAGCGCGATGAGCTCAGCTGCCTGGGCAGAGAGGTGACATGGCAGTGGACCTGAACACAGCACATCAGAGTCAGAAACAACAGCAAAACCTACAAGATTAGTACCGGTCTGAGGATCGCGAGAGGCAGATCCATCAACATACATTACCATGTCGCTGTTGGGCAGCGGAGTGTCCATCAGATCAGGACGAGGAGTGCACTGAGCTTGGAGCTCAGCCAAACAGTTATGCTCCTCTCCATCACCAGGAATGTGGAGTAATGATGCAGGATTAAGATTAGTACAGCGTTTGACCGTTACGTTCGGCATGTCTAGGAGACATGTGTGATAACGCAAATATTGCGCTGCAGAGAGGTGAGAGGATTTCTGTTCGAAGAGAATCAAAGACACCGAATGAGGAACGAACAGAGTTAATGGAGCGTATCCTACTATGTCACGTGAGGCAGCGAGTGCCTTTTCAGCCGCAGCCACTGCACGCAAACATTGTGGCAAGCCTGCAGCGACATGATCGAGTTTTGTGGAGAAATACGCAACTGGTCTTAGTTTATCAGTATGCGATTGTAGCAACACAGAGGTCATGCAGCCCTGTCTTTCATCTACAGTTTGAGTGAACGGTTTGTTAGGATCTGGCAACCCAAGAGTTGGAGGTGTTTGTAAAGCGCATTTCATTTGTGTGAAGGCAGAATGACCCTCTTTAGACAAAATTATTTTGTCGTGTGCTGTGAGATTTTTACCGTGAATCAAACTTGATAATGGCTGCTCCATTTGTGAGTAGTTAGGTATGAACGACCGACAGTATGAACACATGCCTAAAAAGGACATCATCTGTTTTTTAGTGTTCGGTTTTGGTATCGACACAATTGAAGCGATTCTTTTAGGAGAGAGGGTTTTCCCTTCCCCGGAAATGTCATGACCTAAAAAATGTACATTTTGCATTACAAACTGTAATTTAGATAGGCTGGCTAGGTGTTGTAGCAATTTAATTGTGTCTTTCTGGCACTGTGCTTGAGTAGGAGCTGCGATAAGGCAGTCGTCAACATACTGCAGAAGTGCAGAGCCTGGTGAGAGAGTTAGACTTTCTAAGCTTTCTATGAGTGCATCATTGTAGATTGTTGGCGATTCGGTGTAGCCTTGACACAGTCAAGTGAAGGTGTATGGCTTACCGTTGAAGTTGAAAGCGAACCAAAATTGACTGTCTTTGTCGACTGGGACGCTGAAAAAAGCATTTGACAGGTCAACCACAGAGAACCATTTAGCTTCAGGAGGAATCTGAGCTAGAATAGTGTAAGGATTAGGCACATTTGGTGCACGTGCGTGAACTGCAGCATTTACTGCTTTAAGATCTTGCACGAAACGCCATTCAGTAGGTTTGCCTGCATCTCTGATCTTTTTAAGAGGAAATATCGGTGTCCTGACCGGTGAGTCTGGAATGGAATAATCACGCCTGCTTTCAGGAGTGAGTCAAACACTGGTGTAATACCGTCAATGGCCTCTTGTCGCACAGGGTACTGGTGTTTATGGGGGCGGAAGTCAGATCGTGGAGTGATAACGACCGGTTGACAGTTGTTGATCAGGCCTACGTCATATTTGTGCGCTGCCCAGAGTGTCTGTGGAACAGAGGTAAGGGCAGGATAAATTGATGTGGGATTAGTTACAAATGTCCTGACTTCATTATTCAGCTCGTGAACCACATAGACTGATCTGAGTGCAGGTGTCAGATGCACACAAAAACATCTGTGAAATCCAGTGGATGTCGAGCGCAGGACATGGGGATCACATGTTGTTTCCCAGTCAGTTAACGCCTCGCATTGTGCTACGAATAGTCCCAAGTCTCTCCATTGCTCATTGCGTCCTTTGGATAGCGAGATGTGTGGGAAAGAATCAGCAACTTGGAACAATGCTTTCTGTGTAGGAGAAAGAGAGACAGACACAGCAGATTTGTAAGTGGACCAAAACAAGGTAGAACATGCCAATGCATCATTTAAGCCGTCAAAGAATTTGTCTTCGTAAGAGTCGTCTGGACCCCTAGAGACATGTGAAGTGCAATGGAGGTGGTTAGGATTCATGCGCTCTGCACTGCATGTGGTGAGACACGTGCGTCTATTGTGTGACACAGTTTCCGGGCGTCATCAACAGGAAGCCACCACTGATAGGCAAAAAGAGGGTTAGAGGGAGTCTGTTGCAACATTTGTTGTACGACTCTACGCCTAACTACTTTTAAGCCGTCAGATGATGACATCAGACATATGCCAAACGAGCACATTAGGTCTCTGCCCATTAGGTTTATGGGACAGAAAGAAGAAAGTAGAAACGAATGTTTCACTTTAATGTCAGGTTCTGAATCAGTCTCGTCAGTGTGTACACTCGTCATAGGAATAGTACATTTTTCTGTTACAGTCAATCCCGAAGTCCCTTGAGAATAAACAAAACGACCAGTCATATGCTGTTTAGGAAAATGTTTTTGCTGAATTAAAGAATGAGTAGCTCCCGAGTCTACCAAAAAGGTTAATTCTTTCCCTTCCACAACTAATTTAATAGTTGGCATATTTTTGTATGAATCTGATGAAAACATAGCATAAGTATGTGGTTGTGGTGTAGCTGCTTTCACTTGTTGCTGCTCTAAGTGTGAAATAATACTGAGCAAAGCAGACTGTTGCTCTTGAGTGTGCGTGTGAGGAAGCCGTTCTTCGTTGCAGCAGATGTGCGTGTGGTGCACGTGTTGTGTGTGTGTGTGTGTGTGAGTGTGTGTTTCACTTCCCTGTTGCTGAGTCATAGGGTAGGAAGCCGTCTCCACCTCACACGCATCGTCTCCTTCCCCCACATCGCGTCAGTCAGAAGTGCCAAATTGTTGATGAGAGTCACCACCTCCGAAATGGCGCTGGCGTCCACGTGGCTGGCCTGCCCCGCCCTGTTCAGAACGATGAGGGCAGTTTCTGAACCAATGTCCTGTCTCACCACAGTGGAAGCATTCGTTGGGTTGAGTGTCATGTGAGGCTCCTCCTTGTCGGCCATCTTGGAAACGTCCTCGACCCGCTCCGCAATGCATTCCTCTTCCGCGCCCCCTCTGTTGGCCCCTCCTGTTGTTGTTGCGTGGTTGATGGAGGGGTTGGCCTCCCTCAGCTCCTAGCGTCATCTGCTGGACAGCCTGTAGCATTGCAAGTTGGGCTTTTTTTCCAGTTTGTTTGCTGCGCTTGTCTTGTCGTGCCTGATTGTCATTGTGCATTTTGCAATTGTGTCTGGCATACTTTACCACTTCATCAAGTCTTGCGTCCTCCAGGCCAATGACGAAGCATTCGGTTGCGGTTTTGATGTCTGGCAACAGCCCGTTGACGGAGGCATTCTTGAGTTGTGTGTATGTGTTTCCCACACTGACATTGTGGTTTTGTCAGCCGGTTCTTCGATACCGCTGTGTGTTTGGAATGCAGACAGGAGTCTTTGGTGATATGATGTCACATCCTCCGTTTTGCCTTGTTTGGTGCTGTTTATGAGAGCCATGTTGACCTTTGATGGAAACGCTGTCACTAATGCTGCGCAGACAGCTTCAACGTAGGTTCTGTACGGTGCGTTATCTGCATGTGCCCAAATAAGGCCCCCGTGGCGGGAGTCATGCCCTGGTCCGATGACAACGGTTCTGATTTTGCTGAAGTCAGTTGGGCCAACATGTTTGACCAGCAACCGGTGGACTTCTGGACCCGTGGGCATGAATTCTTTGCAGAATATCAGGAAGTCTTTTGCGAAAGTTGAAGCAATGTTGATGTCAGGCAGGTGTGATGCAGCTTGTAGAATGTCAGTTTGGGTCCAGGCTCTGAACACGAGACCTGGAGCACCATTGGTCCCTGGTACCTGGATCATCGGAGCTGTGAAAACGGTTTCGTCAGTGCCAGAGTTCATGGAGGTGTTGGGGCTGAAACAATCAGCGAGTTTGCCTGCAGTTCCACTCCATGTGGATGGGTCAGCCCATGACGCTGAATGCTGGGGTTGAAGCGTGGTCATGGTCTGAGGATGGGTCGCGAATGGGTTGGATGGTGAGGCTGGTGAGGCGGAGATGCTCTGTAGTCAGCATTACTCTGTTGAGCTATGTTTCGCTGGTCAGCGTGGAGGCGGGTCTCTCGTCTGCCCGCAGTTGGACCAGAATATGGCGGAGGAGGAGGTGGGTGGATGTCAGGTTGTTGGACTCGCTGTGGGGAAGCTTGATAGCATGTATTGAGGAGAGGACCGCCCGCTCCTGTTAGACTCGGATACATAGGAGAAGGAGACAAGAATGGGTTATTCTGAGTGTCTGGAATCAGTTTTTCTTCTTTTAAACATGTCATGTGTTTCATCATTTGTTTTCTTTCCCTACATTCACATTCCATTTCCCATTGAGCCAGACATTGCTGGTTCTTTTCTATCATTTCCAAGTCTCTGACTTTGACTTTTTTACCACTTTTCATTTCTTTCAATTTTCCTTCTAAATCCCCTTGTAACATTTTAAGTTTAGCGGCACTTAATGAGCCGTTCTCTGGAAACCCAAATGTTTTTGACCAATATGGAAGTACTTCGAAGTACTTCCATAACGGTCTTATTTCAAACCTATATCTGTAGTCAAGTGATCTGTGTTACGATCTCAAAATGTTTTTATTCTGAGTTAAATCTTCACCGTAGAACACAATCCTGTCTTCTACGTAAACACGTGAAAACGATGCCCCAGAAATACTAATGGATTTTTAGAGAAAGAAAAATAAAACAAATATACAAATGTTAAAAACAATTGTATTCCCCAAATAATTACGACTACGTGATCATTCATCTGTTTCTTTTTACGTTATAATGTTATAATTGGAATTTCAAATTGGAATTCCTGCATTTTTTACCGAAATGCAGGAATTAATTCGTTGTCTGGATACGTTTGAAGTCAATCAGGCCTCCTCGGGTCGCTGGTTCTCTCTCTCTGTGTCTGATGAGGTATGAGACAAGATCGTCTTTTGGGATCCTGGAAAGGCATTTTCACCGGACGTCCTTCGGAGTCCTGACGGACTTTCAACATATCCTGTTCGTGACGCCAAGTTGTTGTGGAATATTTCTATGACTATTCGGGAGAAGAGTGTGAAGGTTTTCAGTCAATATCAAATAAACAGAGTCTTGATGAATGATCAAAGTTGTAATGTCCATTTATTTGCTTGCAAGCAAAGAGAGCAGATTCACAGACACGTATTGCAGTAACCTGTGAGAATGCCACCCGAATCACCTCCGTACATGTTTATTTATACCGTCAGAAAGAGAAAGGAGACAGAG